GGGATATTTTCACCCAAACATCCGTTTCACAACGGGGAAATAAAGGCTCAGACATAATGGAGATTAATGGAAAGCCGGCTACTGGAAACAGACCATTTTCCCAGACCGTAACTTTCCCTCGGTAGGGTCACATATTTGTATCTTCAAAACCAAACAACGGACTCCCAAGAGAGTGTTTACACGTTACATGAAATTCTAACATAAAATGGCCTGTTTATGCCTAACAGTAAGTAACCCCTAAAGACATAACGCTCTTTTGGGCACAGTCACAAGGCTTTGTTCCTTTTATTGTCTTGATTATAATGTTGCCTGGAAACATGGTACACAAATAACACCGTGTTATTGATGTTCATTGCTCCCATGTGTGCTGAAAAAAGAGGTTGTTGGTAGATTGAAACATCCTAATATAAATGTTGCAGTTGTTTTTCAGAAGCTTGAACTTTAAATAACCATCACTCCAAAGAAAGAAACACAAAGTTGACATTTCCATTCAGCGCCTGCCGGCTCCAGGAATAGACTTCACTGCTCAGAAACTCTTTTTCCATTTTCTCCTCATGACAGTTTTTTGGCCTTCACACAAAGCAGCAAGCAAAAACAAATCTGTGTGTTTTTAAGATCAGTGTTTCATATTGCTTTAATGGGTTTTTTTTTGCACTGTGAAAAATAGAACAGGAAGTGCAAGGGTAAAGTGAGTAAGGGATGATGTGAAGATCAAAGAAGGCCTTATCAAGTTTGATTTGGATCCCAGGATGTTATGGTTACTAGGCCACAGGGAAAATAATGCACTTTTGCAGATATGAACCAGGTTTCCTCCCATTGGCAGGTCCATTCCCCCTCCACAGTGTATACCAGTTACTGCAAAATAATTATCTAAATAACTTTTTGAGAATTTTTTTTTAATGTTATTATTTTCTGTTTGTTTTGTTTTATGTGTTTAGATGTTTTGGTTTAATAAATTGTTTCTTTCTTTTTCGTATTTTTTACGGTGTTCCGCTTTATGTGAAAGCCCTTTGTTACACTGTTTTAAAAGGTGCTATATAAATAAAGCTGAATATGAATTATTATTAATATAGTTTGTGTAATTAAAAATCTACAATATCATAAAAACGAACATCTTTTAGTAAGATTGAAAAAAGGCCAATGTATGTAATACATGATTGAAAAAGTTCATGATTTAGTATATTATGTCATATATATAAAATCTTATATTATATTAAAAGTCAGAGAAGAAGTAGGAACATGAAAACGAGTTATTAGTCATGAAATAAAACATTTGAAAAAAATTACAAGATAGTTTGTTTTAAAACATTTCCAAAAGGATTCAGTTTTCTTTTCAGATGGTTTTCAGGTATTTTTTCAGCTGAGTTTTAGTTGCTTAGTTACTTTAGGTTTAGTTACTTTCACCACTATAGAAACAGGGAAGCTCCTGGGTTTCCTTTAGGCACATTCACTCCAAGCAAAGGATGTAGTTAAAATACAAGATGTACTAGAATAATTACTATACTATATATGATGAATGCATATGCCAGAGGAGGTGGAAGTATAAAACCTAATGAAGACGTGTGACACAGAGCAGAGACAGTTTATTCATATCATAAGGCTGCGTACATATCATTGGAATTGTGGGGTAGAAGTGTGAGTGTGTGTGTGGAACAGAGAAGTATACACACATACTGTAAAATAAACCATTTTATTCAGCAGACAAAAAAAAAATATCACGTGTCACACTTTACCCATGGACAGGAAAATAAATACTTAAAAAGAGGCTCAATTACTTACATGGGAATGCCCTCGTTTCAACATTAACAGCCACACACAGACAACACTTACACACAGTTCATTATACACATAGAAATGTGTATATGCTGGCCTCCTACCCGATATAACTCCTACTTCACACACACATGGCTAGTTCAGGAACTAAAACATTTTGCAAATGTTCCTTGTGCAAGTGAAAAACCATTAGATGATACATGTATGCATGCAGCATGCAGCTTGTGATGTGATACTCTGATAGCCTTCACTCAGAAGTATTAACTCCACTTCAGTGACTTTAATTGGAAAAAACAAACATCAAACCCATGTTCATTTTTAGTTGTGATATTATTTCTGGACAAGTTCTCGAATTTCGGTTGAAAAGTTTGCATTTAAGAAAAGGAGCGATTCAAACAGACTGTCTTATTGTCACACAAGTATTCTGTTTACATTTCAAGAGGCTGACTATGCTAATTTTCAAGTTCTTCTTTGTATTTTGTGCCTCTTCTGTGACATGTTTCCATGCTTTAATGTTGAAAAAGCTGAGTGTGTGAGAGAGAGACTCCCTCTGGATTTTAGCCTTTGCAGACCATTCACATGCACACAAAACTATAACACACTACAGGAAAGGGAAAACCCCAAAATGCATAATATGGCCCTTTCAGACAAAACAGACCAAAAATAATGCCAGACCAGTGACCCAACATAAAATTTGACATTTTTATTGTTTTCACTTGGGATCTCATCTCATGTCTTCTCGAAAAGAGAACTATAGCAATACACTTGTTTCATAGAAAAAAATAAAACAACAACAACAACAACAACAACAACGTTATACATTTTATTTTCTCCTTCATAATTCTTGTTTTGTATTTCCTCCCATATTTTGGAAGAGTAGTATTGTCATAGAAAAATACTATATTACATAGAATAGAATTTTACAGAATTTGAAAAAAATACACAATATCAACGCATACATTATTATTGGCCCAATCCGGAATCACATTAAACTTTGATGCGACTTGTCAACACATATTTAATTGAAAGGACCTTCAAAGTGTACAGCCACAGTGAGTACGTTGTTTGTGTTCATTTTTACAGTTATGGCAAGACTGGTCAGCTCATTATAGTTATTTACTTAACTGTAGTTCTCTGGGCAAAATGCTATTGGCTAGCTAACAGATACTAAAACTGCTAAGTTAACTAGATTTGTCTGTGCAGAAAGCTGATGGTTAAAGTTAGCTAAGTATGTTTTATAGTTATTACTGCCCTAACTGTAACTGAGTTGAACATTAAGTTAATGGCTTATAGTTCAGCTAGCAAGACATCAGCTATATTTAGCAAGATAGCTCTGTCTCGTAGCCAAAGGGGACTTCTTGGATAGCTATATAATTACCAGCCCTTTTTAAAATAAAACTTAAAAGCCTTCATAAATCATTAAGAAAGATAATCGGAATTAATGTAAGGATCAAAAATGATTTTTAGCTAAGCATATTCAATAGTTATCTATTGTTGAACAGATCGAAGTATGCTAGGTGGTGTTCAGCCACGCTACACACTGTTAGCTAGCAGATAAGAACCTCCAATCCTCTCCACTGTAGGGTTGAAAACTTCACCTCTTTTCTCACGCAGTACAAACAGAAAGTTGTGACTTGACATAAACAGCAGTCTTTGTTCCACTTGTATCCACATTAAAACACTGAACACATGACTGTCTTACATTTCACAGTTACGAATCATGCAGTAGAAACCCCAACACGTGCTCCATCTCAAACAGGAAACAACAAGCAATGACTTGCTGTAAAAGCCGTCAATAAGAAAAAGAGGAAGGCAACTCACTTCACTTCCACAGCCTGGTTTCAGTACTGGTCTAATGGATTTGAGCTAGCATCCTCTTGGTAAGAAAATGGGTTAGCCCAGTTAGGTCAAACATAAAACCAACATATTTTGTGCGAATGTGTGCTTAAGGAGTCGGTGTGGAATAGTAAGCATTTGAAATTCTGCAGGCAATGATGGGATACATGTTAGATTATATAACACCTTGTGACATTTAATGACATCTTTTCATGGTATCAGGGGTAATGACAACAGGCTAGGATAGGTTACATGGTATACTGTCATAAATCTTCTGACATTCATTGCAACATATTCTCCACCCAAATTAAATACATTAGTAACTAAATCATTTGTAATTTTTTAAGTTTTGCAGTATCAGTACTATATTGTCCAAGCGTGTTTCGTTGTCATTTCAACCTCTTAACTATACATGTGATATTGAGTAATAATATAATAATAATAATAATAATAATAATAATATATTGAGTCATGTGACTCCCAGTATACATGTGTGATTTACATCATACAAAATTTGTGATGAGGTTGTATATTTCTTCTTAACTTCACTCATCACATTTATTACGATTCCGGATTGGGCTTAAACTGACCTTTGACCCAGAAATGCATAGGGAGTATGGATGACCACACATACGTACATACATACATTAAAACAAACAAAACAAACAAACAAAAAAGTTTGAAAGGCTTGTCTCACCACTTTTTTCATTTTTTTTGTTGCTTTACAAACCCTTATTTTTTTGGCCACTTGACATTTCGTAAAAATACTCAGACATGTTCGTAAATGAGATTACTTACAGTGAATGGTATTTAACAGTGTGCTTCTTTTGTAGTAAGTGCTTGGAGACCCTTTTTTTCCTATGTATGAAAAAGTTCATTCTCGTGGGGGTCCAGAGTGCCCCACAGCCCTGAAAAGTTTCACCTCTGTACAATGAGATGTACACCGCCTAGCTCTCTTTCTCTGAAACACTCAAAGATTCACACGCACACATATTCACAAAAACATGCTCAAAAAGTCATACATGCGTAAAAGAAAAGAGAGACACTGACATTCTTGGATACGTACATGTAAACATACTTGTATATTGTACACACATTGTACAAACCGCAACACAAACTGTTGTTAGCGTACCAATAAAGCAACACATTCTCACGGCATTTGGTGTTATAGTCACAAAATTAATCTATTGATTTGTGTTCACCAACAAGATTTCGCCATTTTGTCACACGCTTTTAAAAGCAATGTAAATAATATTAGAAGGAAAAACCAATTAAAAAAAATACAGATTTCAGTATTCTGAGGCTCTGAGCCCCATTTCTTTTCCTCCCGGACGGCAAAAAAAACTACGACATTATACAATTTAAAATAAAAGAGATAGGGTTAGGCTTAGGGTAAGATGTTGAGTAAGAAAATGTTTTTAGGAACCACACAGCTTCTGGTATTCCAAGGCCCGACCGGACAAATATACGTGGTGCAGGCACGAAACATACTACCAATAGAAATACATTGCTTTTACAATCGTTCTGTGTGACACGAAAAAAATGCGAAAATCGTATTGGTGAACACAAATCAATAGATTCAATACATTTAGTGACTATAACACGGAATGCCGTGAGACTGGGTTGAATAAAGTCATATACACATCATTCTCACAACACACACTGTTGTTCTCAAGGAGGGGCAGCTTGATTTTAACAGTATTATGTAACATAGAGGGAGACATGCAAAAAAAGAGAGGGAGAACAGAGGCTGTGATTGTTCCTGTTGAAAAATGTCCAATCCTTCAGAGGGCAAAGGCTATTCTCTGTCTCTTCTCTCTTTAACACACACTCTGATTACTGTAGTATTCCTGTGTGTCTTTGTGTTGTGTTTATTGTCGCTCAAACATTTTGTGCACTCACAACATTAGTTCTCTCGATTGTGCTTACATACAGGAACACATAAAGATATTACCGTACACTGTTTCCTTCTGACACACACACTCTGCCATGTGCAGTAGTAGGGTGACAGCCAGTCTCACTTCTGTAATCCACAGATAATAAGGGTGGAGTGAGTTCTTGCAGAAATAAGAGAAGACATGAAGACAGGAATGAGAATGAAGGTGGAAAGAATCCCGCTGTTATCAAACGGAACAAAAATAAGTGTTGAGGAAAGATTAAAGGGTTAAAGAAAAAGTCTTAAAAGGTTCAGGCTTGTATCAGTTCGGCATATTGGTATTGTATTAAACTAGCAGTGTTGGAGCTATATTAGGCACAATGACAGTTGGAGCTCTTCTGATCCATTTGAATCCTCATAACAGTTTGAGGAAGTGCATGTTTTTTATTTATTTCTCTCCATTTTAGAGGGATTCAATAAGTATGATACCGTGTTTTGTTTTCAACAGTACTGATTTAAATGTTTTTTTGAATTTGCACCTATTACTTGCTTTATCTGCAGAGCAGCCACATCTTATGGGTATTGTAGATCCCATACGCAATGCCAAACTAATGGGCCAAACATGATTGAAATAAGAAATACATCTGAAATAAATCTGAAATATTTAAAAGTAGCAGGAATGATTAGAACCTAAAGGATCATTGTAGTACACTGTATATATGGAAACATTTCAGTAATCTTTTTTTTCAATGACAATGAAGACATCATTAAATTACTACAATGGCAATACTTGAGTAAGGTGTTGCTCCTACTATTCTGAAACTCTGTTGAAGGACCATTAGTTGCATTTATTTGATTTAAACTGGCTGCAATCTTTTCCTAACGCACTTATAATATATGGGGGAAAAATACCAGGTCACAGTGCAAAATACAATCTAAATTTCATCCCAAATGTTCAGATATACCCAGTAAGATAGAAATGTGCAGACAAACTCATACACATGTACATTTGAAACAGAGATGCAGGATTTGTCACAGCCAAACACACAGAAACATGAACAAACATAAGACAATCAAGCAAAACTACCTTGTGTTATCTGTGCATAAGGGCACTGTTTAGTAAGACAATATGCTTGTTAGTGTGTGTGACTTAAATCTAAACAGCACCCACACTCTTCAGCATCATAATAAATTCAACCTCAATGCAGATGATGCAGTTTACTCCGATCATGGTAGTTGGGCCACAAAAAGGTCCGTTCTCCCTACAAAGTCAAACAGCAGTAACATGTTAATGTTCATGTTTGATCTATACTGCAGATGTCATATGAAGTAGCTAAGTGACGCATTTTTGTCACAACTTGGTATTTATTTATTTATTTTTAAATTAGCTTGCTGTTCACACTGTAGCTCTTAATCTGTTACATAGGCAGCACAAGTGGAGCATCTACCTATCTAAGAATCTTGATAAATAATAATTTAAACCAAATAGCAGAAAATACTCTTTGTTATGCTTGTAATTTTTACAATCATTCATATGTAAGCAGCAGTACATGCTGGATTCAAATGACATCAGCTTGTAAAGCATAAACACTATATCAAACCATGCAGGGGAAAATGTGAAGTCTTTAAAAAAATCATGTTATCTGCTGTTAAGACATGTATGAGTGAGTGCCTGGTCATATGTGTATATATGTAAGGGGAAATTACAAATTGACCCAATAGTTTGTCTGTATTCTTAAAGATAAATTAAGTACATATTTTCCCACTGGCCTTTACATTTTCTACCATTTTGTTTACTTGCAACTCAAATCATGTTTTCTGTTTGTTGCTAAGGAACATAGTTTTATTTCTGTTTTGTTATTATCTCTGAAACCCCCTCCTATGGCTCACAGTGTAAACAACAGTGATGCTGTAACTTGTTCTCCATACTGTTAATGGCATTAAACCAATGTCTTAAAATGAAAGAGGTACCAGATTTCTCATCAAAGTGCTCCACAGAGCCCCTTTAATGACATACATGTGTTTTTCTCTGATTATTGTGACCCCTGACCATGAGCAATGCTATCTAAATTGCATACATGGTAGCTGCTCTTTGACTTTGTAGTTTAGCAATAAGCTGAGGCGATACCAACCCAGTGCTCCAAGACAACTGTCGTGAAAGATTTGGCAATGTAGATTGGCAACTCTTCTAGAAAAAAAAAAAAAAAGGTCAATAATCTAATAAATGGTGCAGAGAGAAAAATATTTTCCCACGCATTTCCATGAGCACAGCTGCCCCATTGTTGAAAATGTTGAAGCAATCAAGAAAAAAATCCATCCCTTTTATTCTTTTCCCTTAGATGATTGGATAAAAAAAGAAGGAAATTGGCAGTTGTGAAGACATCAGTGTCTTGACCTTGTAACTATTGCACACATGAATATATATCACCGTGACCATATTATGTGCAGAGGTATCTAATATACTCAAACTCCAATGCGACAGCTGAGATCTTGACTTTTCCACAAAATAACTCTTAAAATTGAGCAGATTCTTAGAAGCAATATGGACTCTCACAACGGCTACATTGTAGAAACTGTTGGATCAATCTTAATCATGAGTAGTAATTGCTTTTCTAAAAACAAATATAATCTGCCAACTGAGCTAGGCAGTTTGAGCACTAGATATTTATAAACCTTGCATTAAAAACTGCTGGAATTACCTCACCCAAATTGCAGGTTTTTATGATTTTTTTAAGTAAAAATAATATTTAAAGATTCAAAATCAGTTAATGGCTGGTTAAAGTGCCAGAGAAGTGGTTGTTTATGTTGGAACAACGCTGAACCCCAGCCAACCTTAATGAGAGTGTCCCTGGTGGTTTCTCTGCAAGATCCCAGTGCTTCCATAGAGAATAATATGGTATGACAGCAGTTCAACCCGGTGTGAATGGGAAGGGGTGGTTGTGTGAGCATGCAATTCACAGTGTGAGTTTGTTCCTGAAGGAGTCTCTGTGTTTCAGTAGAACTATTGCAAGCCGGTGGAGTGGGGTGTGGGTTTGGGCCAGTTTCAGTTGCAACTTAATCACCAGTTATTGTACATCCCCTGCCGGTGTGGCAGAGTGTGTGCATGTGCCTGTACAGTATGTGGAGAGATCTATCTGACTGTCTTTGCTGTTTGTGTTTGTGTGTTACAGGTCTAGATGATGGTCAAACGTGTTGTTATTGTCCTCTGCGTCGTCGTCGTCATTGGCCAGTGGGTTACGACTGATGACCAGCTCCAGTCTGTCCCCGGCCTCTGTGATCAGGGGCACCGCCAGGCAGCAGTCAAAGTCCCTGGTCCTCACGTGGTTCACCTGGACAAAGACGGGGAGCGGCAGAAAAGGGCTGCTTTTGTCAATTATACTAGTGACATTCTGCCAGGCCTTTACTGCATTTATCTTCACTTCTTGCTTGTTGGAGCGGCTTTTTTATTTTTAGCAATTTAAATAAAGAGATGGAGGTTAGTTTACACATGAAGGGACCGTAAACATGCAGCGTCTTTAACATCTGAAAGACTTGAGGAGCTTTGATTGGGCTGTAGATGCCGACATTTGGTCAGATTTTTTCACGGCCACTGAGGTAGGTTGCGCCGCCATCGATAAGCGACCATGACCATCTTCCCCTATCAACATGTGTTCTTCCTAGTCTTTTTTTATTTATATATAATGAAACCTGCCAATGAGACACCTGTTTCGGTCTCAGTTCTGTCCCGCTCCTTTTTTGGTGTGTGTGCGTGCTGCCCACTAACACTTGGGAAATAATAACAGAAGATATTAATGATCATGCAACATTTCAGCAGAGGCGCACAGGAAATGAATATAGGTCTATACAGTATGTATGTCTATTACATGTTACTTGTTAGACGCTTTTATCCAAAGCGACTTACATACATTCAGTACTGTGGGCAATCCCCACAGAGCAATTTGGGGTGAAGTGTCTTGCCCAGGAACACAACAACATGCTGACTGCAGTGGGGTTTGAACCTGTGCTCCCCTGATCCGGACACCAACGCACTATTCCACTGCGCCACACGCCTATGTATAGATCTTTAAACTCTGAGTATTACGGCTGCGTTCCAAATTTTGAACTTCTTTTAACTCTGTGAGCAGCTGTCAGGCCCTTGTCATGCCTTGAAAATAGTAGCTTGTGAAAGCTGGCACGCCATCTTGTCACCACTCCCTCGTTTGACCACGCTTGCAGCATGTGTACATTGAGGACAATCTGTTTGCCTTAAAGGTATCCTATCATGCAAAATACACTTATTGATGTCTTTTATACATAAATATGTGTCCCCGGTGTGTCAGGGAACTCACAAAGTGTCAGAAAACAAAACCCTCTCTCTTTTCCTCCGTACCCAAATCTCTAAAAACGGGGAATAAACGGAGCTGATCCAGATTTGCGTCCGATATGACGTAATATCAGAAAAGTAGGCTGGCTTTACACACACGGCCCTATCAGAAACGTTGCTATCAGAAACAATGCGCAGCGTGTTTTGGACGTAATATCTTTGTTTACATTAGTAAGCGTCGCTAACACTCAGAGCTAACCTCTACTGGAGAGAGTATCAGTGGCGGCCGGCCCATAGGGGCACTAGGGGCGCCGCCCCACCTCTTCCCACATTCTAGATTGTCATTACAAAATATTTAAATGTTATCAATTGTATACACTTTTTTTTTAATGAACAAGGTACATATTATATAGTTGGTGTCAGTTAAATGTATAATCTACGATAAAATATCGATCTAAATTGTTTTACGATGTATAAAGTTACTGATAAGTCTCATGGACTCTTGTTATAGTGGTGCATGCGCAGTCCGCACCTCTTCAATGAAACAGATAGGAGCAGCTCGGGGCACACCAAACTGCGCCCAAAGCAGCTGTTGACACCACCAACAACTAGGGGGCAGCAGGAGCGCAAGAGTGAGTGATTGACGTTTGAATGAGACGGAGTTAGACGGAGACGGACAAAACTAGATAGCGAATATGGAGAATGAAAATGATGTTTAATCACTTAAAGAAACACTCTTTGAGAGGAGGACACTGGAGGGAAAGCTGAAAGTAAAAGAGCTCGGACCGGATCAGCCTGACATAGGCAGGAGTTAAGGACAGAGGAAGACAGTATACGTGCTCTTTTTCAAGGACCTGGTTTAGAAAGAAGGCTAACTACCTGTAGCAACACCAGTGCTATATTTAGCTTCCCCTGCCTCCCTTTCCAAACGTCAGGATCAGACCAGTCTATGGACAAGAACTAGCATGGATCCAGACAGATGTGAGTGACTTAAAGCACATATCAGAAAAAACTAAAAAGCATGAACAAACTAGAGTCCACATGGATGATGCTATGAAACTAGCCATGTTTAGGAAGGTAGTATAAATTCAACTTGTGGTAAACCCGCAAGAGAAAAAGCGTTTGAGCTCCATACTGTTTCAGAAATAATCCTTGATGTGGTTTGGAACATGATATGGCGTTTAATCATGGCAGCATTTAGCTTAGTATCCCTCAGTAGAATTCTGAGCGGGCACAAGCTCCCACTCCTCTTTTCTTTTTTTTCAAATTTCTTTCTTTTTTTTTTAAACCTACTGACCCAGAATCAGCACTTTAGTAATAGGTCTGAAATAGAGGGATAGGAAGCATGGTTAAAATGCATGATCTGTTTGGTATTCTGAGCAAAACACTTCATAGACATGTTTTTGATATATTTTTATATATCTGAGACCTATAATATAAGCCTCAAAATCTCAGTTGACCCAACTAACGAGCCTGAAGGCGGTAAAAGAAGCTTACATGTGTCTTATCCTGTTAAGAATCTGCCACTCTCCATAAACATGGTCCAGCTGCTATGTGATATTCTTGGAACGTTGTATTAATGGACATAGGGTTCTACAGCTGTTGCCTGGATATTAATAATATCAAATGGATTCCCTTTATGTTACCTGCAGGATCCTGTCGTAGGGTCGGAGGCCCGCTCGGTCAGCTGGCCCGTCAGGTCTGATCATGTTGACATAAACTCCTTTCTCCAAGAAGCCGTCGGACACGCTGAAGCCAAAGTCGTCGATCTCTGGATCCTTTATTACAGTTACCTACAGGAAACCACACAAGGATGGGAGATTGATCTGGAAAGAATTGGCTGACTTAAAGTAAAGCGGGGGCTGCAGGCAGGGCCGCCTTAATGCACGGGCTGACCTGGGCTGAAGCCCAGGGGCCTACGGAGATCGGGGGCCTATCATGAGCCAATTAAAAAAAGAAAAAAAAGAAATTCAAATTTTTTCTTTTTTTTTCAGGTGTTTTTTTTAAAGATTTTAAATAAACAAAGTCTTGGCTTTCAGAAATTTTCCACAGCGCCGCTTCCACTCCCTCCGCTGAAATTATTAATGTAAGGCGTATAGTAATCATAGATAACACAGCAGGGTCCGTTACAGTTTGTTTTCATCTGATTTAAAAAAAACAAAGTCTTGGCTTTCAGAATATTAAACTTGTTTTGGCAAATTCAGATGATAAATACAACTTTGAAAATTGTAAAGGCATAATTACAAGCGGAGAACGGAGTAACTTGACGTCACAGCAGGCATAACAACCAGCCGGTGTTTCTCGTGAGTGTTTTCCCCGGGAAACAAACACAATACACACAAACGCAAATAAACACAAACACACACACGTATACACATACACACACTCGTGAGCTTCCCCCAGACCAGTAATCCAAACGGAAATATCTTCCCTCCATACTATTTTGATCATTTGCTCTGCTAATCAATCAGATCGATGGATTACAGAGATTTTTCTCAAAAATGAAGACTCCGTAACAGTCAGTGGGCACCACTTAACAGCCAATCAGAATGAGAATATGTTTCACATGTGACTTACTCAAATTGCGAGTGATTGAGTGAAGAAAAGTTTAGAGAGTGGCG